GTACTAGTTATAGCTTTCGTCACCGGTTGGATCCGTTTGTTTTGCCGTGAGTCAAACCGGTGGTACTGTTTTGTTATCATAAGTATTATAAACAAGCCAACAAATATTCMAAAGAAAGATTAGAATAAAGTTGTCCTATAAAATTAAGTAAGAATATACCTAATCGACTAACGCGTTGCTATGTACGGTACCATCAAATTCAAAGAACTTTTGTTGCTATAAGAATTCARCTRTGAAATAATACAACGAACAATGAAAATTACTGCCGGGTGKTTTGGATTGGGWAAAAACATTTRTAGCAACGCGTTAGCCGATTAGRTCTATAGACTTCTAACTTCARCGTAAAAARCTTSAAAGGTTGAAAGCGCGCGAAATTAGTCGGAGACGCCATCTTGTTTCGTCGTTCTTCTTCACGACTTCTTACAACAATGGGCGTTTATATCTTCACAATGAATTAAATCTTTGGATATTTGTAAGTCTTATCCAAGGGGATTAATAGCTTTATCTTTCATTTATATTTTGAATTTCGTTTTGTTTATGTTGCAGACAGATAGATATAAACAAGAATTTTAGCAGAGAGAAAGAATGGATTTTTTTTTTTGCGATTCCGGCATGGCATTTTAGAAGATACAAATAAAAGATCACCTTTGTAATTGTCGAGCTTCTGGAGCGATAGTAAAATATGCTGACAGCTTCGACCAAGTTTTATACAGTTTTAAAGACTTCAAAAAGGAAACGCTTTTGATTTTTCTCTAAATCATGCATGCTCCTTTACAAGTTCTTTCATACAACAACTCCTTTCTCTTTATTACAAATGCCAGTTTCAATCCAGACTGCATATCTAGGATTTTTCTATTCAAAGTTTTCTTTATTTCAAATTAATATTGATTTAATTTTGTTCATTATGTCGCATGGCGCCACCCGKAGATATTAAACCCAAGTTCTCAGTGTTAAACTTTGAAGATTGCACGATATTTGCAGTCGATGTAGAGTAGAACCACTTACGAACTCTATAAACTAGTTTTAAACTTGTCCAAACCGGTTTTATTTGGCGCCTCGACTTTCAATAGTATAATCACTGAATTAGTCATAAATCTACTTCTCTTCAATTGCTTATAAATAGCTGATGTATATTGGGAAAAGCTAAAACAAGACCTCTCGATATGACAACAGTTTATTGGCCAATGTTGCATTTGATCCTTAGCAGATTTGGCATATGCGAGGTCTAATAGCTGAACTTCAGACTTTTTTTATATAAGAAATTATCATTTTTTCATCATCTACAGTTATCAGAAATAAATGCATGTTTCTATAGGAAGATTTTGTAATTAGACAATTATAATCGAATTTAAAATTTAAGTCTTAAGATTTTTGAGATGCCCGCCGATTAAAAGGCTGATAGTACTTTATATCAATTTTTTAATAAGACTCTAAATAGAGTTAGAAGCATATAATTATTGCCTATCCGTGTTTCCAAGGCATATTAAAATGGATATTTATTAATAGTTTTTTTTTATAGCGGAGTTTTTTTTTAAAGTGGAGTTTTTTTTATAGCGGATTGCAGAAAGAATCGAAAGTCAACATCACACCACTCGTACAGACAAAGGMGGCTTATAACCTTGCAGAATGTCGTCAAAATTGGTTTGAACAACAGATTATAAATTGTAAAGGAGACTTTAAATTATCATAACAAACCGAAATGCAACAAATAAAAACACGTAGAATAAATAAAAGATGAGAAATTGAAGAAAAACAAAATTACCAAAGTGATCGAAAGAAGTTCAATATTATTGTGGAAATTAAAAATAATAGCACTAGTTTAATACCGCCCGAGTTTAYATTAATTGAGTAAAATATCATTTTCATTTGCCGCAATGAACATAAAGTACCTTGTTTTATTTTCGCTTTTMGCCCACTTCGCGCCCCACTGGGATTTGAAAAAGCGCTAATTGAGCGGATCCCCGTGCTTCGTCGAGTGGATCTCAAATCTYCATTGCCGTCGGGACCACCTAGTATCAAGCTGTTCTTTTAATAATTCATACTTTCTGGTGCGATTTCAAAAGAACTTAGTACATACTCAAAGGAAAGAYAAGAGCTTCTGTTGTCTAATGCATTTAAAACTTTAGTAGGCTCTAGGAGATACTAATTACGATCTAATGATAGAAATTAGTGTTTGGGTAATGACGGTTGATAAAATTGCAATTTGACTTTACTAAATACAATTTTAAGGACATCGATAGGCCTTTATTGTACTTTTTTGAATGATTTTAAAAAGCATGTAGGATAGCTTCATGGAGTTCAACGTAAAAACCATGGCAARCGATTGAAGATATTTTTATTTTTTGGTATGTCTTTCTAAATGTATTTGGAAACATTGAAAACGTTTCGTGATGTGCAAGTTCAGTGCAAAAAGCAATTTAAATGATTTTAAATGGAGTTTAAATATTACAGTGTTGACCTTATATTTCTATAATATATCAAATGTAGTTCTTGTAGAGAGAGCGATTTCCAGTTTTGAGAGCGAATGYCATCATTCATCAATTCAACGGTGGCAACTATGGCTATATTCTGTTWAAGTCTAACTTTTGGAGCATAATTTCTTTTATATTAAAAACAAATTAACCAAAGCTTTTTATAATCTTTAGCAAAACTCTCAAAATACCGACAACGGATCAAACAGACTAGACTTAGGGAAGTTTGCAGAAACAGTCGTTATATCAATAAAACTCTTGCGTGCACCGAAGGTAAGCTTGTCTCAAACTCCTGCAGAAATCTTCTATGGAAGCGTTCCATGACTGCATGTGATGGGTCACAATATATTCCATATTTTAGTGAGTGCAAAGTGTCATTTTTCCATCTTCATGCAAATTTCAATCCCATTTTTCCCCTTCAGGACTTTCAAAAAGCTTAGCTTCACATACGCACTCAATGTATTTGTAATTTTTAAACTCAGAATTTCCTTGAAAAGCTTTTAAATACACTGAAAATTTAATATTGAATGCCAATAATAAAACTTGAAACTGGAGTACTACATTGGTCTAGTGCCAAGTATTTCATTTTGAATTTGAAAAGAAAACACCTAAACTTCTCCTYTTCATTTCCTGTTAAAGATGTTAAGAAAGCAAAACGAAAACATTTATGTAATACTTTTGACCAAGCCGCACAGAACAAATCAGTTTTAGTTCCCTTGCGGGTGGAATTTTAGGAATGAGAAGCGGCAGAACTGCTAAAAATGAAATGTCTGATTTATATGTTTATATTTGCTTAGAACATTCTAGATAAAGTATGAATTACATAAAAAACAAAAAGSTCGTGCAGAGAGATAAGGAGGAAAAGGAATCGCAAAGGATTATTCACACACGATGGCCGTAAGGAGGTCATAAATAATGTAGTACCCGCCTTCTGGACCTTGGACTCTGGTCTAATTCAGCACGTGATCATGACGCGGTTCGCCCACGTGAAAGTCTCCCTATRTGATTGGTCTTTCCATGTGGGAACTCACGTCCACGTGATCAGGGGCTACCCACGTGATTTATAAGTAGTACACACGTCATTTTATTTGAATTCGATTGGTTGTGACTTCCTGAGGATCAAAATCACGTGRTTGATAGACGAACTCGTAATAAGGGTACCTTAAGTCACGTGTGTCGTCCGTATTTGATTGGTTAAGTGTTGAATACCTAATTAGTGGTTTTAACCTGCTGGGAGACAAAAAATACGATCGAAAAATTGCAAAAAAATCTCAACATTTATTTACTAGCTTGTCATTCAAACCCAAAGTTTCACACGTTGGAATATTCGACTCAAATTGATTAAAAAAACCTAATTTTTACATCGGGTAAAATGCTCATAATCATTTAGTCATGTAGAGCTACTATATGAAGGATAGTGAACAGTTAGTTCATTATGTTTTTTTTTTGCTTTCATTGCGATTCACAAATAGATATCTCTTTGTTTCGTACAATCGTTTTATTTCCAAGTCTTTGTTTGTCTTTGTTATAAACCAGAGATTAATTCTATTGAAGGGAATCGAGCACAGGTTCTATAGGAATTTCCGGTGCTATCTTTCGTGCATATGAGCGCTATAACAGCGTCTGAATTTTCTTATCTTTCGTCATTAGATTTCAATGCAAAAAAGTGTTACAATATCAATTTGAAGCAACGGAATCTGTCACCTCTTAACTGCAAATGCTTCATTATTTTAATATTATTTATAGCAGCACAGTTGAATGGTTTCCTTTTGCATAATTCTCGTTTAAAACTCCGTGCATTTTGTACATGAGAATGTAAATAAGGAACACTGAAATGCGGTCAGCATTCGCTTGCCCTAAAGCACGAGTTCAACAAGATTTAACCTATTCAAATCAGTTTTAAGATACTAGTGTTTTGCAATATACAAGCCACAGATCTTAGATAGACTTCACTATACATTTCTCTCGGCCGGTAAGAAAACATTACACAGTTCTTTTCGCAATTTAACAATGATATACTTCATCGATCGCTTTACCATTTGCAATGAATGATATGATGAAAAAATAGCCGAAAAAATACATAGAATGATACAGGAGATATATACGAATCATGCTCAATACATGTACTAACCTGAAAACAAAGTTCCACGTGCCGGCCGGGGTCTACAATGCTTACGAGACGTTAGACTTCGCGTATGGAAGATAGCTAGGTAACGGAAGAATCAAGAGATTTGATCTCTTTTCGGCTTGACAAGCTCCTACGACAAATAGTGTTGGTCAGTGCTCCTTAGAATACGTTCAGAAGTGTTCATGAAACTTTAATTAGCATTCCCCATGTATATTCATCTACTTTTGACGGACAAAAAAAGAGGACATGGCTTGCCAAGTTTGACAGCTGGTACAGCAGGGAGACTCGTTTACAAAACCAGTTTSRAACCGGTTTTTTAGGTCTGACGTTAGAACATACCACCAAAAATGTTCAATTTTTCGAGACTCTCGACTTGGAAAATACGAATTTKACAATAAAATTGCTTAAACAWTCGCTTRTTTCAGTATAGTGCAAAACTAAGTTGTATAAAGGGGTTATATTTTAGGTGATAGGCCGCGCACGAAAGCAGGTCTTTTGCATAATTAATTTCAATCCAAAACAATCGAACATGCGCGCGAAAAATATATGGAAGATTTTTTTCTTCAGTTAATTGTTGCTAACTTTTTATCGAGTTTATTTGTTAGTACTTCGAACATTGGAGAAAACTAACTCGCTTCTAGTGGGGAAAAAAATCACTTTTATTTGACAGAGGGCTGTGAGACTAACAAATCTAAGACTAAGCGTGCGACAAGCCTGCCTTAAAACCTGTTTATAACCGGTCTAGGAGTGCCCACCGCAGTCTRYGATCACGTGATAGGGACCAWACGCTTTAAATGTTCTTATTTTATCGCTTAAAATTGCAGCAATCAAAACATTTTTCAAATTAAGACGATTAAAACTCAAAATGAATGCTTCTTAATAGACGCAGTTGTACGATTTCCGTAGTTTGAAATTAGAAGTTTGGGACATAAATTCGATGAACCTATTACATGAGAGGTGAAAGGACATCGATAAAAAGCTTACGTCTATTATTGCGGTTTATAATGAGACTTAAATTGAAATCCTTTCAAATTTACATCAGCAAAACATTACATAGTTTTAGCCCACANAAATCAAAACGAACAAATAAATACAAAACATATAAAATCTATCGCATTTTTGATTCATAAAAATCACGGCTCGACCAGAGTTTTTCACAGATTTCTTTTCAATGTTTGTTTTTTTTCGATTGCATTTCAAGGTGAATTGAAGCCTTCTCGAAAATAAGCTGTTGTCTCGAAATAAACCCCTTAGGCGCTCCAAACATGTGGTGTAATCTTAGCAGCTCGTCTTACTGAAGCGTAGCAGGTTGCTGAGAATGAGGAACGGGCATCTCCTGAATAGATATCACTTATGTTTTAGCGAAGTGTATGCATCAAGGCATTGACAGATGTACCAAGATGGCGCGTTTTATGTTTAATATGAAAGCTAAAGTTTGTTTCCTTGCTGAAAATTAACGTTTACTCGCTTTCGTGATGCACAGACATTTTCTTCACCAAGCAGACACTTTTCATAACCCTAAAAAAATCTCCCTAAAACGTTTTTTTTTTCATTATCATTGTAGAAACGGCACGACTACTTTTGGTACTTAAAATTTTTGCAAAGAAAAACAATTAACAGGTTACGAGGATTGTTTACTGAAGCGAATATAACGTGAAATTACTACAACTCCGAAGTTTCGTATTATCCGATAATACTTACCAAGACCTCCGAAATTCTTCCGAGTTGTATACGAAAACATTACGAAATCTGATTGGCTGCTTCACAAGTTGACTATATGTAGCGTTTTTTGTTTGTTAGTTTTTTCGAGGGAATTTTCAGTTTGGGAGACTTCTAGTTTGTATTTTATAGAGATTCCTTTCTGTGTTCTGATTCGTATTGAAAGAGTGTACACATTGGACTTACGCAGGTTGCGGCATTGCGATGGTTGTAGGCAAAAGTTGTATCGTCCAATAGTCTCCTTCACGGTTCCCTACTAATCGAAGCGAGACAACCGTTGAGCGTGCAATGATAGATACCTGTGGACATATTGTGGATAATTGCCTGTAGGTGTGAAAGGTTTCTATCATGTACGCTCAACGGTCGTCTCATTTCGATGCAAAGGCACGGCTACCTTTCAAGATGGCGCAGGGAATCGTGAAGAAGACTATTCGGATTAATGAAATACCAAAGATTTATTGGCCGTATTTAAGAGTATCCTACTTTCAAAATACTGCATTTAAGGGTATTYTACGTTCAGAAAACATCTATACCGTTTCAATACCGTGGTGCACTTCGCTTTGAAAACAGACATCACATAGAGTTGACAACACACGGACAGGCAGCCATTTTGTTCAAAAAAGTATGTTATGAGTACTTTTCTCCGAAGTCGCCTCGRTTTTGCTAAAACTGTAGATCTGGCGATTCTACAAAGAAAAACGACTGATAGGTTTATTTCGTTGCTACAACTCCCATCATGCTTTCTTGAACAAAATGGCGTCGCTACATATTCTTCTGCACAGCTTTTCTGTTTCACGGATTTAGTGAAAACCACTCTACTCAAGTATGTGCGTGAGCATTACTCTCAAATATGAACACAAACAAAATGGGCTAAAATCATTTATTTTTTTAGAAGTTCAAATTATTTTAAAGACTTTYTACCCCTAAAGTCTACTACAAATATTGTTAGGTCACAATTTGGTCCAGTCTACGCGGCCAGAAAARGTGGATTAATAACACAATTCCAGGTTTCCTGGTAACTTCACCGTTTGATGGTATTTTACTGTGCCATGTGTAGGAGTAGATCTACAACACGATGGCTGTATCCATATTCGTTATCATACCTAAACGAGTGTAAAAACATCGTTAGAAAGCACATTCTTGGAGTAATTTCCAATAACCCGTGAAACGGTGTAACAGCCGAAGCATAGAGCAAACGCAGAAAAACCATTAAAAAAAATCAAACTAAATACTAACAAATAGCGGCTATTTAGAGAAAAATCGTCAGTATCAATGAACCAGAACGCAATGAAGATGAATTAAAAATAGTCCCATGTGGATTCATCTTCATTGTGCTCTGGTTCATTGATACTGACAAACTGTCTCTAAATAGCCGCTATTAGTTAGTATTTAGTTTGATTTTATTTCATGGTTATCCTGCGTTTGCTCTAATAAAGAGTATAATTCACCAAAACCAACAACAAATGCCTATTGTAGCTATTGACATTAACATCCTGGTGTAAGGTGCAATACTCTATTTTATCACTCCAAGAGCCATCTTGAAAGGTAGCTGAGCCTTGGATCAAAGCGAGACAGGAGTTGAGCCTGCAGTGATAGATACCTTTTCTTCACACCCAAGACAATCATTCATAGGTATCTATCATTGCAAGCTAAACTTGTGTCTCGCTTTGATGCAAAGACTCCTCTACCTTCAAGATACAGTTGTGTAAAAAGATAAATTTTAACGCAGTAAAAAAGTGGGTGAAATAACTTACTGACTTTTCGGACGTTATTTCACCTACTTTTTTTACGGTGTTAAGTTCATCTTTTTACACAACTGTTTCTTTAGAAACACCAAAGAAGCGCAATAGTTTACCGCTAGTTCTCAAGACCTTTCAAGATGTCGTTTGGAACTGTAAAATGTAGTATTTATGCACTGCATACATAATTCAATATGAGGTATACTTACCAGGCTACAAGCTTAACAAAGTTGTCATTAAGAGCCAAGCCTGCTTTGGCATCAAATGTACTAGAGATTGTATCTCCAATAAAGTCACTGGACACAACTTGCTCCTCTGTGTAGCCAAGGAAACGCTTGAGTTGTGGTGTCTCTGATGCTTTCTTGATGGTCTCTTTGATGGTGTCATAAGAGGCCTGTTAACAATGATCAAAATAACAAGTTGGAATTAGGCCATACGCTACTGCTGGGATGAGTTTACTTTCAAGCTTTCGTCGGTCGCCGACATCATCAGGAGAGTGAAGGAAATTTACATATATGCGAATATAAGGAGTACAGAGTCTTTTGTCTTTTTTTCCACCTTCATTACTTTGATCAAAATAACATAAACAACTTGTTTTGCAAAGGTATTGTGAAACAAGTTGCTGAAGAAATTTGCAATGTGTAACAGAATCCTATTTTTTTTTAGTTAGGGACTGTGCAATATTTATCTGGAGGGGAAGGGGGTTGAGAAATAAGCAAAACAATCAAAAAAAGTTCATTAGTAAAAATGAAATAAATTACGCTCATTCAGGAATAAAGGAGTTGTTGCAAATCATGTCACGTTTTTCTTGAGATGTTTTCCACTTCAATAAGTATTTGGCCAAAAAGGATAGAATCTGACACTCTGACACCGTTGAGTTTCAGTTTCCAATTAAAGTTCTATTTAATTTTAGATGTTGCCCCCCCTTAAGCAAATAAAATTTGATTTTGCCCTTCACCCCTCCTGATAAATATTGCTCAGTCCCTTAATACAGTCAACTCTCGCTATTACATACACTCTCGGGACCGTAATTTAGTTTCTGCAGTAGCAAGAGTCCGCAGTAATGAGAGTTTTCAATCATTTCTTTGTATTTTTCGCCGGGGATTCAGTACTTTACTGTGCGCAATATCGAGATGTCCGTTGTAGTGGGGTGTCMGTAAGGCGAGAGTTGACTGTACATGTTACAATTGTAATCAGGTAATACTTACAGGTTTGGCAAGTCTGACRGTCAAATCAACCACTGAAACATCAGGTACTGGGACACGGAATGCCATGCCAGTAAGTTTGCCATTCAGATCAGGRATAACTTTTCCAACAGCTTTGGCAGCACCTGTAGAGGCTGGGATGATATTCTGATTGGCRCCTCTACCATCACGCCATTTCTAGATAGAGCAATTAAAGGTAAATTGATTAGAGCGGATTTCGTATGAGTGGGACACCGTTACCGCACGGTTACCGCACAGTTACCGGACCTGGCCTGCAGAATTTTGGTGAAACAGTGGGGCACTAGAATTTGGTTACAGTACGATTACGGTCACCGTACAGTACCGTCCGTTTCCCACTCATACGAAATCCGCTCTAATATTAACAATTAATATGTTGATGATCGTGTGAACTGGTGGTAAACTAGTGTGAGCTGGATCAGTTTTTTTAAAGAAACAGTTTTGTAAAAAGATAAAATGTGTATTTCACAATTTCATGGTGATTCAAACAACGCGTGGGCTACCTGTGTTTTATGTGGGATCCCTTATTTTCAAGGACGGGAGGGGACTAGGACAAAATTATAATGGCCAACATGTTGAAAAGCAATTTCTCTGCAAATTCTGTAAGTTTTTAGCCATTTTAAAGTACTAAAAGGTGGGATAAAAAAGTGAAAAAAATTTTTTAACGTACTTCCTTATAAGGTAAGATTACCATATATGGTCAGAAAAAGTTTTGCAAATGAATGAATTTTTCAACGAAGCAATAGGCCATTTGCATGATGGCGTAACTTTACTACAACTACCAGAAAGCCTTGCGCATTTTCTTTGTTATTCAGATTTTTAATCCCCTTAGAGATTAGTAAAACAATTGGCATTAATTGCATTACAAAAGAAAGTGGGCAAAGCATTCTGGTAGTTGTAGTAAATGACGCCATAATGCAAATCGCCTATTGTTTGGTATGAGTAAAATATGAAAAAAAAAACAAAAAAACAACAATAATGGGATTGTATCTTTTGAAAAAAAAATAAAAAAGGAAAAAAGTGAAAACAAGACAGGCTTACCTTCCCACTAGGTCCATCTACAGTCTTCTGGGTTGCTGTGAAAGCATGAATGGTTGTCATCAAGCCTTCAACAATACCAAAGTTATCATGRACAACTTTAGCAATAGGTGCAAGACAGTTGGTGGTGCAGGATGCATTGCTGAAATCAAACATCGAAAGTTGTGAGATAGTTGGTAATAATCTAATGATAAAATATTACACAATGCAATTTGTCGTGTCTGACTTGACAATGGCTACACTTGTGCGACCTACAACTTGTTTCGAGCTTTTAAATCTACTGTAGAGTGCACGTCACATAAGCATGAAACAATTCTTAATATGTATTGCTAAATAAGATTTAGTTATCAACTAACTAAGAATTCAACAAAGCATAAACACAATGCCAATAATTTAAATTCCTTTGTAGCATTGTTCTTAATTCTTAGTTAGTTGATAACTAAATCTTATTTAGCACTACATAATTAAGAATTGTTTCATGCTTATGTGACTTGCACTCTACAATCTTTTGCAAGATTGTGTGAAACATTGTCAATGATTGTGTTCCTACAACATCCCTCCCTTTTTCCAATGTTGTTTGTCAGTGAATTGACATGAAATCGCCAAGAATGAAGCAAATATCTGTGCAACCTTGCAGTGGAGAAAGAGGTTAGGGTGAAGATTTAGGCTCAAAATCCCATGAAAAGCTATAGAGGTGACAATTAAACCTAAGTTGTGTGGAACCTGCCTTTTGTATCAATACTTAAGTATTAGCTTTGAACTCTTTATCATATAATGATCTGTACAATACCTATATTTCTCCATCTCGTTAAGCTGTTATTTTCACAGATCATTATTACATAGTCGCTTGGAGATACGAATTTTATCTTCTCTTGTTGTAAATCTTTCACTCGTTCRCTACACTCACTCATGAGAGATCTTTTCAACACTTGAAGATAAAATCTGTATCTCCGTGTGCCCATGTAATACCCTCTATTTCKTACCTGACTACATCCATAGATTTCTCATATTTATCCTCATTGACACCCATAACAAACATAGGTGCATCGGCAGACGGTGCTGAAATAATGACCTTCTTTGCACCCCCCTTGAGATGAAGCCCTGCCTTTTCCACRGTTGTGAAGACGCCGGTTGATTCCACCACAAAGTCAGCACCATGTTTTCCCCATGGGATGGAAGCAGGGTCTCTCTCGGCATACACTGAGATAGTCTTGCCGTTAATGACTAAGTTACCGTCAACTACCTTGCATTCTCCCTTAAAGCGGCCATGGGTGGAGTCATGCTTGAAGAGATATGCCTTTTGTGGAGCAAAAGTATTGGTTAAGGTACAATATCAAATCTCTTTTAAGTCCAAATTTGAGTTAAACATGATAAAGAAATTGAAACTTTGATGCCATATCAATTTTTTTTAATTATGCAATATCAAAATAGTTTTATATTTATGCAATATAATTAATCTAGACATATACTTTCAAAATCTAAATTTTAATGACTAAATCATCTTATAATAATAGCAATTAAAGAAACGGCAAAATATGACTTTTATTGGGGTGCTCCATGCGTGGCAAATTTGAATGTGAACTTTCAACGTGGCATATCAMAMAGATGGTCGCGAAAACCCGGAAAAATTAAAMCTAAAATTATGATAAACAAGAAATATAAACTACACAGCTGTTAAGTGCCATRCATAATAAAATGATTGAGCAAAAATGATCTAGTTTTCCACAAATATTTTAAATTTTGATGAGCTTTGACTAGGGGGATGAAAAATTAAGCTTACATAAATTCAAATTGAACAAGACTGCATAATTCAAATATAACGATAGGTTAGATTACTCTAGATTTAAAAAACATAAATAGGTAATTAAATTCTTATTTTTTAGGATTTTAGAAGGTATTTTGAAAATTTTTCAATCTGCATTTTTCGCTGTCAACTTTCAGCTGGAAGGAAACTGACATGCAACGTCACAAAACCGAGTTGAATTTATTTGCATAAGACAATTCCAGCACAAAGTAAAAACGCTTTTGTTCTAAAGGATAAGAAAAAGTATTGTACTACAGACAATTCATGAACAACAAATTCTTACCATGTATTCAGCATCTAGGAAAGGATCATTGACAGCAACGATTTGAACCTCGCTCCTTTCCAAACTAGCTCGGCAAACCAGCCGTCCAATTCGTCCAAATCTGAAAAGAAATATAATTAAAACAATCCAGCCACTTCCCMAAACAAAATGCAATCATGATAATTGAAGACAAAGGTACAAAAAGTACAAAATTAATGCACATGTTGCTTTCACTTACCCATTGATACCAAACTTGATCGCCATTTTGAGAAATCTTTAACCGTGAAAATTGAAATTTTCCTACAGAAAAMGGACACAGAATTATCAGTTAGTTCCTAAAGATTGCAATTTGAAAAGATGGAAAAGAGATMCACGGTTTAATATAAAATATTTTGCAAAAACCTCTCACCTTTCGACCGGACTGTGTAGTGAAACGACGCCTGTTGAGTAAGAACGACTCCGGCTTTTAATCTCTAGAAGGCTTCTGATTGGTTGAGA